GTCCAGTCACAACAGAGGCTCTGTAGTTGCTCTCTGCATGAACTGGCAGATCGGAAGTGCAGCTTTTGCACCACTTCATCTGTTGAGTCGTCTTCTTTTGTCGCCTCTTTCACGCTTCCCTCTTGGATGGTGTTGTCATCCTCTTGTGCTTGCACTCTCCTCAAGACACGTGAAGACCCGCACAAACCTATACATGCATGAAGGGGGGGGGGGGGTCAAGTAGTATACCATCCAAAAGAGAACCAAGTAAACACACATAAAGGATAGAGTCCACCTTATCATATGTGATGCGCATGTCCCTTGGCAATGGAGCCAAGTCCATGGTAATGACACTAGGGTGTCCTGCACCATCTCCTTCCCCTTGGGAAAAATCCGTCCTCGGATCGGGATCGTCATTACCATGGAAAAGAGTTGGTGTGACCATTCTGTATTGGACGGTCACCAAGAACTCAAGACCTACACATGCACAAATCAAAGTAAAGAATGTTTATGCATGGTACACAAATGCATCATCCATCATGATGCATCTCTTCTCTTACCCGTCACCATTAGCGCAAAACATGATCAATGAATATATGGAGTATGCATGGCATATGTCATGACAAGTATGTGCATCATGCATATTGTGCAAAGAAGGAAAGCAAGCATGCTTCACCTCTAACATGTCAAAGTCTCCAATCATATGTGATAAAGCTATGTGGCATTCATGTTCAAGAATAAAGGCATTGTTGCACTCAATACATAGCAAGTAGCAATCATCCAATATGAGAGAGGCAATGTATGGAGTAATTTGACAACATGCAAGAAAAAACATGTGAAGAGCATGGAAATGGTTGCCATCAACGCAATGGAAAGAGAAAATAGTCATCATGGGAGATGCAATACACAAAGTATTCATATAAAGAAATGGTATGCATAAGCAATTCACAAGACAAAGCACAATCTTCAAAGCAAAGTATGGCAAAATCATCATAATTACATTGGAAAGAAGTCATACATAAAGAATAATAGGTCAAATAACTCTCCCAACACAAGCATCATCTATCACAAATGACGCATGGCAATAATAAGTGATGTCTTCACCGAACTTGCAAATACACGTACACTTACATATAAAGTGTGGACCCTTTATAATGCAAGGCATGGGTCACAAAGGCGTGTAATAGCAATAGCGATGATCAAGGCATGCAATGCAAACATGGTAATAGGGGCACAATATATGTAAGACTCGTCGGATTGCAAAGTCACTGGGGCGTTTCTGAAAAATCACCGGTGTTGCAATTTTCTGAAACATTGCCGGTGTTGCATTTTTCTGTTTCTGAAACATCGTCGACGTTGCGGAGGGCCGATGATGCAAGCTTGCCGAATTGCAACATCGCCGGTGTTGCAGAGGCGAGAGTGTGCGAGCTCACGAGGCATGGAGACCATACTACACCGTGACTCCATGGAAAAGGTAAACCAGGCAAAGTTCCACTCGTTCATGCATGCGACAACGAGCACGGGTAGGTACAGCGTCAAACACATGCACCGTTTGTGCATGAGGAACGCCACATGGTATGCATGAGTCAACCGCAGATCATTGTTAGTTACCTGCTGTATTTCGAAATTTCCTACAAAATAGACGGAAAAATAATAATCTCGCCGAGTCGCCGTTTGACTGAACATTTGTGCCCCCTAGCCTGCACTCTGTCCTATTTATACATGCTCTAGTTACAAATTAAACAGATGGGTAGAAGTAGGGACTAGCCAGCACCTATCGCACTATCAGTATGATCCTAGTATCACCAACCAAGCGACCACAACACTTCCAGTGCCGATCATCACACGCGGCCGTGGCCCTCCATCTGCTACTTCTCGGTGTAGCACTGGCAATGGCGAGCGGCACCACAAGGGCACACGCCGTCCACGCGCCGTGCTGCAACCTGCTCCAGGGGGTGAACCTGGCGCCGTGCCTGGCGATGGCGGCGTCAGGCGGCGGCGCCGTGAACATAAGCGCCGCCTGCTGCTCGTCGCTGAACGAGGCGCTCGACGCCGGCCGCCGCTGCCTGTGCTCGCTGCTGCTGGCCAACGGCGTGCTCGCCGGCCTCGTCGCCACCCTGATCCCCACGCTCCCCATGGTGCTGCCGCTGCCCGGGTGCTACCTCTACGCGCCTCCTCTCGCGGCCTGCCAAGGTGACCGTTCGTTCAAATTTTCTCTTGCATCCGCCCGGGCATGGACGCTAACGCCGAGTAGTTGCTTCCCCTTTATCTGGTTGGTTTCAGTGACGTTGCTGCAGACGAGTTATGATGCGCCGCCGGCGTCGGCATCTGTGGCTGCGGGCGTGGGGGATGCTGCTGGCGGCGCGGTGGATCCGGCGCCTCCTCAGGCCGACATCGCGCCGCCGCCTAAGAATGGTAGTGTGGCTGGGACGAAGGATGGTGGGAGGACGGACGGGAGCGGAGGCAATGGCTCTAGGGAGGAGCAGAGCGTTAGAAGGAGCGAAGCATGCCGGCGGCCCGGCGTTGGTGAGGGTAGGATGTACATGCTGATCTTTGCGGCGGTCATGGCTGTATTTTTGTTCGATTAAGTTGCCTGTCATTAAACTGAATGACTTGGCAATGCAGTATCCGTACCATGGATCTCTCTGTCTTATCTCCCTGAGTGACGTTGCTGCCGACGCATCTGGTGGCGTGTGTCTCTCAGTCACCGCTGCGGAATCCTAGATCTTGCAACAAACTAGTTGTTGCGGTGATAGAAGATTGCAACAACACCTCAGTTGCAAATCTGGGCTATGGAAAGAGGCGTCCAATTAAAGATAGATTGACCGCCACGAAGGTGATCGACGCGCACAGAAAGATGCTCCGGTTGAACAGAAACTTTTGCCTTTATTTTATTAACGCTAAACAAAAGAAAAACAAGGACGAAGTGAAAAAAGGTTGTTACTCACTTTGCCAGTAGCCACCTCTTTGATGAACCATACGATAATGATCCAACGGCCTAGATTAGACCGCTCCCATCACTAACCTTCTCATATGCATTTGAACAAGAGTGCCAGTCCGCTTGTCCGTAATTAATCGGGCAATTCACTTCTGCTTAGCCGCCGCCTCCTCCTTCCTGCACAAAAAAGTTAGGGTTTCTGCCTCCCGTCGTCGCCGCCGCAGGTCCGCCTCCTCTCCGATGGCCCTAGGGTCATGGGACGCGGTGGATCTCGGCAAGGGCCGGCGGGAGGGCTCCGTTTTTAGTCGTTTCTTTCAGTTTTGCTAGGGTTTGTGTCCTGCTCAGGAAGACGAGACGGCTGCGGCTCCCTGAAGATGGAATAAAGGTCTCCCCGCCTAGTCCCCGTTCCGGCGGCGCGTCTAGCATCGTTGGTGGGCGTGTGGAGGTGTGTCTCCGGCGGATCTATCTTTGGTGGATTTGCTCGGATCTCGTCGTTGTTCGTCTACGTTCGCGTGTCTTCGGATTGGATCTTTTTGATCTACGTTATTCTTCATCTGCGGCGGTTGCTGTTCTGGTGCGCTGGTCCTACGGGGCCTTAGCACGACGACTTCCTGACTGTCTACTACAACAAGTTGTGCCCGACTCCGGCGATGGAGGGGCGATGACGGCGGCGCGCCTTCGGCTTGCTTCAGTGCTGTTAGTCGTCGCTAGGTGGTCTATGGATCTGGATGTAATTTTTATTATTTCTGGTATTCGTTGTACTACCATGATTGAAGATGAATAGATCGGAAATTTTCTCGAAAAAAAAAACAATTTTTTTGCATGTCTCCGTACTGCCAACACCGAACCATTACATGACAGCTGCAAAACCATTCCAGTAACAGGCGTGGAGGCGCACACCAATTACAGTTTCCATTCAGTCTATTTATCTTATGCGTCCCCGTCCAGGCATCCGCCATGTCCCGGTCAGCTTCTGCCAATGGCCTCCGACATGAAGGAAAGTTCACAGGTTTTTCCCTCCAAAGGAAAAAATCTCAGCCTGTCACATCCAGGGGTCAGTGTGGCACCTCGTCCTTGTGGTCTACACTAAGAGCAACTCCAACGGGGCGATCCAAACGGACAATGCTTTTGTCCGTCTTTTGTCTGTTTAGATCGGTTGTCCGCCCGGCATCCGCCCTATTTTAGATTTGGGTCGGCAGTGCGCCCAACGTGCTGATCCATATGTGCCGGCTTAGCCGGCTGGCCGCCCTTTTTCAACAAATAGCTCATTTTTGCATTCAAATATATAGTCAAATAACATAGTTTTAAGCGAATAAAATAGTATAGTTTTACAAGCCGGATAAAAGTAGAAATGTCTCACATAGTTTTGCAAGCCGAATAAAGAAGATACATCTATTGGTTGCCAATATGAGCTCACATATGTTCAACCAAATCATTTTGCAGTTGCACGTGAATTTCCCGATCACGCATGTCATGACGAAATTGGATGAACTGTTCAAATGTTACCGCTCCTTCGTGCTCAGACACAACATTCTCACCTTGAAACTGAAACCCTTGATCATACAGACATTCCGGACGCTCCAAGTATTAGGAGGATACCGAACGATGCCCCATCGAGATTGCAAAACACCAAAGGCACGCTCGACGTCCTTCCTAGCACTCTCTTGCTCTTGGGCAAATCTTTTCCTCTTCTCTCTGACAGGTTTAGGGATTGTCTTCACAATAGTGGTCCATTGAGGATAAATACCGTCATCCAGGTAGTATCCTTTGTCGTAGTTGTGGTCGTTGATAGTAAAGTTCAACGGTGGGCTGTTGCCTTCGACAAGCCTAGCAAACACCGGCGAGCGCTGAAGCACGTTGATATCATTGTATGATCTGGCCATGCCAAAGAAAGCCAGATCTTGAGACGTCACGGCCTCTGGTATGACAGTGCAAGCCCTGACATGACCCTTATACTGCCCTTGCCAAGCAGAGAGGCAGTTCTTTCACTCCCATTGCATGCAGTCTATGCTGCCAAGCATCCCTGGGAAGCCCCTGCTGGCATTCATCGCCAACAAACGGGTTGTATCTTCAGGAGTTGGGTCTTTCAAGTACTCAGGGCCAAACACAGTAATAATAGCCTTGCAGAGCTTATACAGGGAGTCTAGGCATGTAGACTCGCTCGTACAGACGTACTCGTCAATGAGATCACCAGGCACTTCGTATGCAAGCATTCGGATGGCGGCAGTGCATTTCTGATAAGAGAAGAAACCAATCTTTCCAGCGGCATCCTCTTTGCACTCGAAATAGTCATCATAGCCGACCACCCCCTCTCTAATACAGTTGAAAAGATGCCTACTCATACGGAAACGGCGGCGGAATTTCAGATGTTTGAACAACGGAGTTGTTGTATCAAAGTAGTCCTTCCAAAGAAGGAAATGCCCGGAATGGAGCCACGGAATGTCGGGCGCTGACTATTGAGGTGGTGATGGACTAACACGGCAACCAATATCTCCTCCTCGTCATCGGACGACGAATAGTCGGAGTCGCAAAGGAAATTGTGAAAAAAGAACTCATCAGCGGAGTCCATTTTGTACCTTGGCAAACTGTCGAACAGCTTGCGGGCGTCGACGAAGGGAGTCACGGCGCGCACGGACCAGCTAGCTGCCCTAACGGCGTCCGATGAGCGTGCCGGTGAGGATCTGGTCGGGGCGGCGAGGCGGCTTCTTGGTCGCGGTCACGACTGTGTCAGGGGGGAGCGGGGGTGGGAAGCTCTCGGTTCCACAGCGGCAAGACGGCAGTGGCGGGCGACGTGGGAGGTGGCAGCGTTGCAGAGCGGATGTTGCCACGCCGGCAGTTGGCAGAGTCACCGGAAAAAATGGGCGGCGGCGGCGACGACGAAAGAGGCGGGCGAAGGTTTGCTGTTGGATGGGGAGGGGTCAATGTGCCACCGACCAGTGGGTCTGGGGAAAGGAGAAGGCGAGCGCGCGCGTCCGTCTCGTGTCCACGCCGACGCAAATCCGGTTCAAAAATGGGTCGGGAATGGGCCGCCCGCGGACGAAAAACGGATGCGCGTCTGATTGGGTCGACGCATTGGACCGACTTTGTGTTCGCGCCAACCCAGACGGACGCCGGCGGACGAAATGGGTCGCCAGATTGGAGTTGGTCTAACCCACTAACATCACATAATTGCACCTAGACAGCTGTTCTGCGCTACCAATCAAAACACTGACGCGCTTCCCCAGCAAAGTTTTTATTTTCCTGAAGAACCTGCCTTTTCGTCAAGAAGAAAGAAAATCGACCAGTTATTAAGGAAAAGGTCTCTCTCTCACACACACACACAGAGAGAAGCAGCAGCCACAAGGCTGTGTACCAAACGAGCCGACGACCTTGCTACCCAAGGGACCAGAGTCGAAAACAACGCGGCAAAGTCAGGGAGGCAGTTTCTGCAAGGACGCGGTTGAGAAGAAGCTTACAGAACTCAGCAGCTACTTGCAAAACCTCAGCCCTTGCAGAATCACTGGGTTGGAACTTGGAAATGGCGTTTCCAAGGAGCCCTGATTCCAGTATGAGCAGCTATGCTTCTACTCTGACGCTGAGCAGCTGCCCCAGCTCCTACATCTCCATAGGCAGCAGCAATCCAAGCTCATTTACGGCCGTCGCAATAATCCCCACCGGTGCCGGTGATCACAGCCCAGCACTAGCAGCCACAGGAGCTCCTGAATTCATACAGGGAAACAAGCTTCAGCAGCATCAGGATCCTCCGGAATCAGAACCAAAGTTCCCTAAGCAAGAAATTAACGGCTGGGAGCATCCAGACCTCTGTTCACCATCCAAGCAACTCAAGAACGTAACTACTTCCATCAAGGAGATCAGTCGCTGGGCAAGATCTTCGCCAGGAGTAAAGGTGAACTCAAATATCCGGCTCTTGGAGTCTGTATTTTCTTTAATACAAGTGGTGACTTCGACGGCACCACACCCAGATCACATCGTCGACATGATACGGGTCCATGATGCGCTTGCTAACCTGTTGCTCGTCCTGCCCAAGAATATCTTCCCTTTCCTGGTGCAAGATTTCGCTCAGATTGTGGATGAATTAGGCCCGAAAAGAGGTGCATCTTTATCAGCGAGGTTTGAAAAGACACTGCATGATTTGCGAAGAAGCATAAGGAGTGGTCTTCAGGTGCTCAATGTCAAGATCTTTGATTATACATCTGAAGTAGTCCCACAAGGTGGTGGTATCCATGAGATCACCAAATACTTGTTGAAATACATCCTGTCACTGCTGGACAATGGCAGATCCCTCAAAATCATACTTGTCGGCGATGAACAGGATGGCATGGTTGAAATGGAGACGCTGCAAGATGCTGTTGCTACCTTGATCTCTCACTTGGAAATTATGCTTGAGAAAGAATCTCATCGCTATCAAGATGCAGGGTTAAAACAAATGTTCATGGTGAATAACGTGAACTTTGTGCTGCATCAAGTAGAAGGCTCAGAGATAAAGTATCTTCTAGGAGAGGATTGGGTTCTGAAGCACCGAAACCAACTGAAGGACCACATCTCATCGTTCATCAACATTTCTTGGGAATCTGTCATGTATTGCTTCCATGTAAAGACCAACAAAATCTCGATCTTTTCTAGCCTACCCACACTGCAAATATTTAACCT